GCATCATCCTCATGATAGAAAATTTAACTGGAAAATCCAGTGCTGCAAATGGAATTGATGTTCACATGTGACAAATGGGCTCCTTTTAAAGAACATCATTGTAAAGTGATGTGTAGCTTGACGGCAACGATGTTATGTCATATGTTTATTGGTTAATTATTTGCATACAATTTGACTCAAAGGAGTCTGAGGTCACTTCTTCCTTTATTTGTAGTTCCCCAAATTCTATTCCTGCTAATGGGGATTGTTCATGTTTTGAGAATTACACTTTAGGACAATGCTGTATAAACACATCACCACATTCAATTTCCTCATTAAATATTGGTTTTCTTTCATTTTTATCAATAAGTAAATGCAATAGAAAGCCAACAAAGTGATAGAAAAATACCAGTCAGGATCTCAGACCCTTCATCAGTACTATTAAGGGTTGCACTAGCTGATAGCTAAAGACTTTCTTTTCTTTCCAATTATTTAAAAGACTCCATCACTCACAATGATGGGAAAATGTCAGGACTCCAAATCATGTTAAAAAATTTGGGGATGGGTAAAATTAGGTATATTCCAGGAAATGTTTCTAATTCATTTTGTACCAGTTGCAGAAAGTGGAGTTTTTTGATTTTCATCAATTGAAGACTGCAAGAAAAAATTCACATTAAATTGAAATCTGAAAGGATTTTTAGCAAGAGCATCGAGATGATAGGAGGTTAGATACTGGAGCATGTTCTAGTGGCAGAATGAAGTGGGATAGAGTTCCCTGCCACTAAGACATTCAGTGAACTTTATAGGAAAACTCCATTTGCCTATATTGTTCTATTTTGCCTTATTAGGATTGTAGACAACAGTGCTGTGTAATTACTCATTATGGCGGAGCTCTACTGAGGACGGATAGAATAGAAGCAGCACACTGGTTGTAGAGGCACAAGGACATCCTTTGATTCTTGGGTACCCCTTTAACTGATGTGTGATCTTAGTCATGGCATTTAATTTCTTTGAGCCTACATTTCTCATCTATGAAATGGAACTAATAAAATGTTCCTCAGAGGGTTTATTGTGAAGATTAAATTTTAATGCATGTGTAATACCTACTGCTCAATAAATCTAGGTCCTCAGTGTCATATTCAAAACTTGAAAATCTAAAAATTGTGAAAATTATTTCTTGAACTCTTATGGTGGCAAAATCTAAGCAGGATGATCTCATCTCATTTGGCAAGATATTTTTTCCCTGTTCATGTGAAGCTATTTACAGTCTTCATATCACTCAAAGTGAATATCAGTAAATTTTGAAGCATAAACATTGTAGTGTGTTTATTGTTTGTTCGGTCTCAGATCCTTCCAGGAGTGTTAAGTAATGTGCAATTTAATACCTTTCTAAAAGGTAAAAATTATCCTGGATTTTTAAACTTATGTGGTACCAAGGATTTCTGATAAGGAATTTTGGGCCTGAATTTGGTTCCTGCTTTCAGAATGGATGAATAACAAGATAACTTACTCTAGTTAGCATCATATGTGGTCATTTTGAGAAAATAATCTTTAGAGATTTTTCTTTTCTTTGTTTTACCTTGTCTGACCTAAGGCCCATGATCATTACCTGGAAACTACCTTAGCATTCTGGACAAAAACCTTAAGATGAACCCAGGGGGTTTTATGGTAAAATAAAAATCTTCCAAACTCTGGGTTACTATGACTCAGTTAAAAGAGGCTCTTTTACATTAGCCATAGTAGTTGCTTAGTAAATATGTTATGATGAGTTGAAATTCCTAGAAATATGCATGTATCTTATAAAATTAATGGAAGAATAAAACTTAACATTATCAGGTTTTTTTTTAAAAAAGATTTATTTATTTTTTCAAACGTCAGAGTTACAGAGAGAGAGGGAGTGACAGAGATCTTCTGTCTGCTGTTCACTCCCCAGATGGCTGCAATGATCAGGGCTGGGAAGGCCGAAGCCAGGAGCCAGGAGCTTTTTCCAGGTGTCCCACATGGGTAGCAGGGGCACAAGCAGTTGGGTCATTTTCTACTGCATGTCCTAGGCCATTAGCAGGGAGCTGGATAGGAAGTGGAGCAGCAGGGACAGGAACCGGCACCCACATGGGAAGCTGAAAGAGTGGGTTTCAGCTTTACCTGGTACTCCACAATGCTGGCCCCAGAGTCTCAGCTTCTATGAAGATCCTTCAAGTAGATTGTTTTTTTAAGAGTACAGTTTTGGCAGATTATCATGCTTGACCCAACTGTTGGTCTGTTTTCTGAAAACAACAACAACAACAACAACAACAACAACTGTATTTGTTATTTAAAAATAGTAAATCAGATACTTTCTTGAGCAGTCTTAACTGCTCACCAAAAACCGACATTGTTATTTGTACACTTAGCATTGAGTTCCTGCCTTTTTGGCTAGGAATGGCGGAGGTCTAAAAACCTGCAAACACCTGTGTCTAAGGTGGGAGTCAGTAGCTCTACCCACAGAACTGAAACCGTCTGGGTCTATTGCCAAGAGCAGACGCTACTTGCTGAACTGTAACAAAACCAAATGATCAATTGCCTGAAGTGCCTGTAGCTCATTTAAAACAAATTCAAGGTTTAATTGAGCCTGTATCAAATAGATCATCCTGTATTGAGAGGATGTTTTTGTAGTTTAAGACTTGCAAGAGAGACTATCAGTAGTATTCTGTGCACATGGTGAGCATTCCATTGTAATTCACAAAGTACTAAAGAGAAATTATTTTGTAGGCCACATAGTCACTGGGTAAAAACTAAAGTAATTTATTTAATTATCCTTTGGAGGGCTGTCTGTGTTATTTTTATGAATGCAATAGAAACATTGAAAAGCCGAAGGAAAAATAGGAAATTAACTTACCTAGAAGTTGGCTTATTAATTTTCCCTTCATGTAAAAGTGTGTTTTATTATGTTTGGAACAATGTAATTTTAGAGCCAGTGAAAGCATCTTAACTCAAAAAAGGAAGACAACAGAAATGAGACCAGAGGAAACACAGTTAGAGCCTTTGAAGGGATGAAAGTTTTGGCATCTCAAGGTGCTTGGCTTTGGTTCTCAGCACACTCTTGGTACAACTCTATTTTTTTTTTTTTCAAAATAACAAGGTTTTATTGGGGATAGGGCATATGTCAGAATGGAAGGGACAGATAAAGAGTGCCAAGTCACTCAGACTGGGGGAAAGCAAGGATATATGGTTAAGTGGACAGAATACACTTGGCAGGCCAGCAATTCTATTCTAAATGGAGAAATGGATACGGTTAAAGGCATTAGGGTGGATCTTAGGTAAATCTGCGGGGTGGACGACTTTTAATATTTTAACATTAGCTTCAGATCGGCCCAGCTCTGGCTGTTGCGACCATTTGGGGAGTGATTCAGTAGATGGAAGACCTCTCTCTCTGTCTTTCCCTCTCTCTGTCTATAACTCTGCCTCTCAAATAAATAAATAGAATTTTTTTAAAAAGAAACTTAAAAAAAAGCATAAAAGTCCCTTTTGTGTTCAATTATACTTCAGACACTATAGAATAGGAGGTTTTCCAGGCAAAATGATTACCTTAGTGGCCATGAAATCACCCACTGGATGTGCTAAGAGCATGTCAGTTAGGATGCAGAATTTTTTTGGAGCTCATCTTCTGAGAGAAATCAAGTAATGACTAGAATCTTGCATCATTTCTTGTTTTTCACAATCCATAGCTTCCCAAGTGACCATTAAACCATACAAATTACATCATAGTATTTTTCTATTTAAAACTATTTAGTGAAGTTCCATAGGAAAAAGACCCAGGGTTGTAAAACGGTCTGTGAAACTAAAAAATAGAACTTCTATGTACTTCTGCCTGCTCTCTGCAGATCAAGTCTACTGGCTTAGTTATTTAGTTCATCGAAGCCTGTAGGGTTTTTTTTTTTTTTTTCAATTTATTTGACAGGTAGAGTTATAGACAGTGAGAGAGAGAGACAGAGAGAAAGGTCTTCCTTCCGTTGGTTCACTCCCCAATGGCCACCATGGTCAGTGCTGCATTGATCCGAAGCCAGGAGCCAAGTGTCTCTTCCTGGTCTTCTATGCGGGTGCAGAGGCCCAAGCACTTGGGCCATCCTCCACTGCCCTCCTGGGCCACAGCAGAGAGCTGGCATGGAAGAGGAGCAACGGGGTCTAGAACTTGGCATCCATAAGGGTTGCCGGTGCCACGGGAGGAGGATTAACCAAGTGAGCCAAGGCGCCGGCCCCAAGAGGCAAGGTTTTGTTTACTGCCCTGTCTCTAGTGCCTAGCAGAGCACCACGATAAGTATTTCTTGAATGAAAGAAAGAAAGGAAGAGTGAGATGTTGGTGCCATTCTGGGTGCTATTGATAAAACTATTCCCATTTTTGGTTTTATTGTTCATACCACAAATACAGAATATATACTACGTGTTAGGCACTGTGTTAGCTGCTGATAAACACCAATTACAATGTGTAAAACACATACTGTTGAGAATTATGGGTGGTCTGTTAAAGAAGTTTACAACTTCAGGGGCCGGTGCCGTGGCTCACTTGGTTAATCCTCCGCCTGCAGTGCCGGCATCTCATATGGGTGCCAGGTTCTAGACTCAGTTGCTCCTCTTCCATGCCAGCTCTCTGCTGTGGCCCAGGAGGGCAGTGGAGGATGGCCCAAGTGCTTGGGCCTTTGCACCCGCATAGAAGACCAGGAAGAGGCACCTGGCTCCAGGCTTTGGATCAATGCAGCACTGACTGTGGTGGCCATTGGGGAGTGAACCAACGGAAGGAAGACCTTTCTCTCTGTCTCTCTCTCTCACTGTCTATAAATCTACCTGTCAAATAAAAAAATTAAAAAAAAAAGAAGTTTACAACTTTAGATTTGGAGATCTCGATATGCAGAAATGGCCAAGAGTATATACTAGGTCTTAACCAAAAGGCTGAGAAGCAATGATGGAGAGTGTAAACGAAACACTCTGACATTTTGCTGCTTTTAGGCTAGACAGAATACAGAATCTCCACCAAGGCAGAAATTGACTTTAGTTTTTTTTAAAGATTTATTTATTTATTTGAAAGTCAGAGTTACACAGGGAGGAGAGGCAGAGAGAGAGAGAGAGAGAGAGAGAGAGAGAGGTCTTCCATCTGTTGGTTCACTCCCCAGATGACCACAATGGCCGGAGCTGTGCTGATCCGAAGCCAGGAGCCAGGAGCTTCCTCTGGGTTTCCCACGCGGGTGCAGGGGCCCAAGGACTTGCCCATCTTCTACTGCTTTCCCAGGCCACAGCAGAGAGCTGGATCAGAAGTGGAGTAGCTGGGACTAGAACCAGAGCCCATATGGCATGCTGGCACTCCAGGCCGGGGCGTTAACTCACTGCGCCACAGTGCTTGCCCAAGAAATGCCTTTAAAACAGAAGTGAAACACAGTATTTTTTTTCCAAGAGGAAGAAATTATCACTAGTCACTAATTATGTTTAAGAATAAAATATCAAGAGATGAATATGTCTTTGCTACCATGAGGTTCATAAAGACAGAGAAGTGAGTCTGATGACTCATTTCCTGTTCCTCTGGAACTCAAAAGGAGTGAAATCATGTCCCCAAAGCCTATTGCAACTCTGAGGCATTCTGTGTCTTACTGTGTCATTTTATTAACGAAGTGCATAAGTATTCAAGGATTCCTTGGAAAAGAGTGGCCAGATTAACACGTCTTCTGGTGGTGTTTGAGTGTAGGAAAGAGGAGGACTTCTGGGAAGAGGATAAATTAGATCTGATCTCCTCCACAAAGGGATTATTGTTGAAGAACAACCTAACGTTTCATTTGGATTAGAAGATTTATATCTGTTGCATGATCTCATCCACATTGACTTTTGAGGAAAAATTCAACTTACACAGTTTGTGTTAATAGCACATACATGCAACAGATAAATATTTATGGGATTACTATTCATATATGGAGTGATATGTAAAAGCTCACGGAAAATGTAATCAAAGATAATTTAATTTTGATACAAAGAAATTGGAAAATTATTTATGTGTAATTTTTGACATAATACGTAATTTTCATGAACAGTTTGAAGACCTCTTCATATATATATATATGTGTGTGTGTATATATATATATATATATATATATTTGCTATTTGGTTTGCTTCTTTGTTTCCCTAAAAGATATCTATCTGCCTGTGATCCTCCAAATTTGTTTTCTGTTTATAGTGGTACTGAATAAGGTTTGTAGCTTAGTCCATTTTCTGTCACTCTAACAGAACATCTCAGACGGAATAATTTGTAAAAGGTGGAAATTTATTTGGCTTATGGTTTTGGAGGTTGGGGAGTCCAAAAGCATGGGGTGGCAAAGGTCTTCATGTTGTGCCGTAACATGGTGGAAGGCACCACATGGCAAGAGATGGGAGTGGCAAGCTGGGTCTCTCCCTCTTATCAAGCCACTAATTTAATCATGTGCTCCCCCCCCACCTTATCTAACCCTAATTACCTTGCAGAGACCACACCTCCTAATACCACCAGCATGAAATTTGGGATTTAGTTTCCAACACATGAACTTTAAGGGACCACATTCAAATCATAACAGCCAGTCCTTGACATACATTGCTCAATCAGACTTATAACTTTCAAACATCAATTTTTGAAATTTTGGCATGATTGCTTTTCAATCAGCCTTTGGAAAAGAACAGATGACTTTATGATAAATCTACTCTTCCGTCTGATTCTTGGACCATTTACAGAAAAATCTCCTAAAAGAGGCCTCAATTTAGGGAGGCCAATTTCTCATTGGTATTAAGGGCTGTAATTGCCTACACATTTTAGCTGATCTAAGATAATTCCACATTATAGTCACAGTCCTTGAAGCTGGTTTCTCAGTTAAAGCATCTTCTGTTCAAATATTATGCTACCTTCCCTTGATACATCAACCAATGTTAGCAGTCATAGAAATTACAGGTGTGAAAGGCCTCTTAGCTCCCCAGTCTTGCTCCCTTTTTTGTTAGTGAAGATGTTTCAGGTCATTAGGCTGTTGTATTGGTGGTTAAGTTCAAGTTTCAAGATAGCAATATTCTTTCTGGGTCATGTGCATTCAGAAAATGGTCTAGAATGTTTCTCCATGTTAAAAGAATTTACAAATAGAGAACTTTATTTAGACATTCTGCATAAAATATCCATAATGCTTGTGAGCAGATTAAAGTCTCTGAGGAGTGCTTTCATAAAAAATTATTAATTTTTTCCTATAACATAGGATTTCCTAAACTTACTTGACTCTTTAAAATTTTTTTGAGAAATTTATTTTGATTTTATTTGAAAAGGAGAGAGAAGGAGAGAGATCTTATATCTGTTGGTTCACTCCCCAAAGGCCTGCAACAGCCAGGGGTGGGCCTTGATGAGGTAAGGGGCCTAGAGTTCAATCTGGGTCTTGCATATGGATGGCAGGAACTCTGCCATCGCTGCTTCTAAGGATGCATATTAGCAGGAAGCTGGAGAGGAAGTGGAGGCTCTTAGACTTGAATCCAGGCATTCCAATACGGCGTGCAACTCTCTTAAGCAGCATCTTAACCATTGCTTCAAATTACTGCACTATTAGTTGATTTTCGAATGCTTTCAGTAATACTAGTTAGTATTGTACCATGAAAAGTTGCTCTTTTAGTCCAAACTACTGAATATAGGTTCTCTCAAAATTTATAAATCACTTTGGTCTTTAATTCTGGAAATTAAGAGGTATATCAGCACGTGTCTTTCACCTTATGGATAACTACTACTGTTACCACTGTGTTTTGGCTGATTTGATAGCTTAGGTTAATATTCTGTTCTTCCCATATGCTTTTGGTGAAACTTTTTATTCCACTGAATAGAACAATTTTCTGATACAGAGCAAAACATTTCCTTTGGAGAAGAGTATAAAAATGGTTCTTGGGCAACTGTTTAAACAAATGGTTAAGATGCCATATTAGGCACATTCTATATCAGGGTATCTGGGTTCAGTACTATCCTCTCATTCTGGCTTGCTGCCACTGCAGACCCTGGGAATAGAGGCAGTGGCTCAAGTAATTTGGTTCCTACTACCCACAAGGGAGACTACATTCTTGGCCCTCAGTTTCAACCCAGCCTAGTCCTGCCTTTGTGGGTATTTGAGGAGTGAACCAACAGGTGGAAGTGCATACAACCTCTATTATTTTCCTCTCATAAATAAATAAATAAAACTAAAAAATTATAGTTCTCTTTTACTATTAATATCCAAACATTTAATTAGCTCCATTTTTGGGAAACTTGGAGTTTTGATCCTGAATTTTGTTCACAGCTTGTTTGGAATGTGTAATGTGTAAGTAGTCATATTCCTACATAATAAACTTCTCTTTCTCAAGAACAGGATGAGCCAATGAAGGTCATGGAGTAGGTCTGGTCATGGCTGAGTTGAGGACATATTAGCATGTAAGTGCTAGAAAAATTCTTTAAAACTGATATATTCTAATAGACTGCAGTTTGACTTAACAATAGGTTGAGTATGTTTTACAAAACGTTGAGTAAATTCATGCACTGTTCTATTCCAGAAATTTCATCTTTGTCTTCAGTGCACATTCCTTAGCAATCCCTATCCTCACCCTACTTTTGTTCCTAACACCCTTCCTCAGGCTGATGCTCACTGCAGGGTATTCAGTATAGGTTCTTGAAGGCTGTAGAGTCATAACTACCTTTTTATCAGCGTCTCCACTTCACAGATTTAAAGTACTCCCTGTGGTATTGGTGAAATGAAAATAATTTTTGTTTTTATAACTGTAATGCAGATGAGTCTGAGGCCACATTATTCCTGGTCTTAGGTGCTGCTTTCTCAGGCTCACAATGATTCTTAGAGAGATGGGTGACACCTGTGCCAGTGAAGTTGTTGTAGAAGTTAAACAAACTGGTTTGGGCCCCTTGGAGGAAGTAATTGGCACTGTCAGGTATAAGGGAGAATGGCTTTTCTGCAGGAAGGAATTTGGATGGTATAAGTAAGATAAATAGCCTGGAATGAAAGGGTGAATAAAACCCTGGACAGTTTGAAATTCCTCTGGAGGAACCTGGGAGTTAAGCATTTTCTTTTTTCTCCCTTTATCTCTCGTCTGTCTCATATTTCAGTTTTATGGCCCCTCTTTCGCTGCCCATGGTGCTGAATTATGATGAGTCCCGGACTTAGTTTAACCTTAGCTATTTCCTGACCCACACTTTCTTTAAGATAGAAAATGACTTAGATTACTTCTTTCTCTGCAGTCATTACTATTATCAAATCTTTTACAATAGTCATATCTAATTTCTTATTACACTTCCCCCTCACCAATGCACTGGGTAATATGACTGGCAAGAAGGGCAGAGGCACCATCTTTGGCTCAAATAATAGCAATTGCTGGAGCTAAGACCAAATAAGTGTACTTTACTTAATTAGAGGAGTTTGCTGGAATGGTTCAGAGTGCCCATGGATGGCCTTCTGCTATGAAGAGATTGACCTCTGCTAGGTATGATTCCCAATTCTGGCTCTGTAGTTTGCTAGCTATGTCACCTAAAGGCAGTTACCTAACATTAGGGTCATTTCTTCATTTGTCAACTGAGGGAACAAATATTCCTATATCATAGAGTTATTATAAGTATGTGAGATAATAAAATAAATTTAGCAGAGAGTGTGGTATAGATGCTCAATGAATGTTAGCTTCCTTCCCTTCCTTGAATAGCAGTGGATACTTTGTTTTATTTTTACAGATTTATTTTATTTATTTGAAAGACAGTGTTACAGAGAGGTAGACACACATACACACACACACATACACATACACACACACACAGAGAGAGAGAGAGAGAGAGGTCTTCCTTCTGCTGGTTCACTCCCCAAATGGTCGCAATGGACAAAGCTGAGCTAATCTGAAGCCAGCAGTCAGGAGCTTCCTCCGGGTCTCCCCTGTGGGTGCAGAGCTGGAGCTGTAACCCACTGCGTCACAGAACGGGCCCAAAGTTGATACTATCTTAATGTTCAAGAGGGATGTTGGTAACTTAGTGAGTTAAGCTGCTGCCTGCAGTGGGCACCAGTTTGAGCCCCAGTTGCTCCACTTCTTATCCAGCTCTCTGCTAACATGCCTGGGAAATCAATAGAGGATGCCCCAAGTACTTGGGCCCCTAGACCTGTGAGGGAGATCCAGAAGAAAATCCTGTGTTCCAGCTTCAGCCTGGCCCAGTCCTGGTTGTTGCAGCCATTTGAGGGGGATGATTTCTTTCTGTCTCCTTCCCTTAACTCTATCTTTCAAATAAATAAATAAATAAATAAATAAATAAATCTTAAAAAATAAAGTACCAGTAAGGTCTGAGAAATATGATAGGAAAGCAAGGTTGAACCAGGGGGCTATCTGCAGGGCTGCCACACTGTACAATTCCAGGGG